GTCAGTTGCCTCCAAGGCAAAAGCCTCGCCTGCTGTACTGTAGTTTCTGCCCCTAGTTATCAAGAAATTTTAGGTATGAGAAGTAGGAAGGAAGGAAAGAAGGAGGGAAAGAAGGAAGGAGAATAAAGGGAAGGAAGAGAGGGAAGGAAGGAGAAAAGGAAGAAAGGAAGGAAGGAAGGAAGGAAGGAAGGAAGGAAGGAAGGAGGGAAGGAAGGAGGGAGGGAGGGAGGGAGGGAGGGAGGGAGGGAGGGAGGAAGGGAGGGTGGAAGGAAGGAAGGGAGGAAGGAAGGGAGGGAGGGAGGGAGGGAGGGAGGAAGGAAGGAAGGAAGGAAGGAAGGAAGGAAGGAAGGAAGGAAGGAAGGAAGGAAGGAAGGACCAATAGTCTTGAAGACATTTCTGTGATGGATTCAAGTCTTCTTCTTTGATGTTCCAATCTCTGCTCCCCTTCTGGTATTAGTCTATGGGCTTCTATCCTATTTCTATACTTGAAGTTCTCCTAAGCAACAACTATGTATTAATATAAACAAGTATGGGTGAATACCAAAAAGTTTAGTTATTAATGAAAGGTTTACATTGACGAAAGCTGTGAAATACTCAAGGCCCCCCTCAATTTCTCAATTTTCCTGCTACTTTCTGAATATAAAGAACTATCCCTGGTTGACTTAGACACTACTATATGTCCACTAAATACTACCTACTATCTTCGAAAAACCCATATTTTTGCGTAATCCTTCAGGTACTTATCTAATATCTCTCTAAGTAGAGAATATGAGCTATCTAAGAGAAATAAAGCATCCCAATGTTCAGTTAGAGGTTCATATTTGCTTCTATGGTTGTTAAAAATAAGAGAGAAAGTGACAGAACTTAGTCAGTTATTGATCAAGTACTAGCTGTTTTGAGATTATTATTTCAGAAGTTATTAGTTAGTCATCCTGGATTAATTTCTTGGTTTTCTGAATTAGTTGCTGCTAATAATGATCTGTCTTTCTTGACTTTTCATTCCGATTACCAACCATAATTATATTTTTAAATAACTAGAACACCGTCGCTTATTTTATCTATGTTTGTTCAACTCATTCATTCTCAGGACTTCCCTTGAAATTACCTGATACAAAGAAATCACTCTATAAATGCTAGTCATTATTGCTACCTCCAAATATTGTTTCCAATAAACGTTACTACTTGTTTAGTTCAGTAATAGTATTGATATCATTTTCACACTAGCCTACACGGTCATTAAATCATGTATCTTACCTGCACACTGTAATTTGCGTCTTTTCAACTCAGTTGTTCAGGTTTCCTTGCCTTGTGATAGTATGATTCAGTGCTACAGATGTCAAGTGGACATACATATGCACCGCTTCCCATATAAATTTCCTCCTTATATAATATATTTTAGAATAGTTAGCTCATTGTTAATACTTCTCTAGACTTACAGTGATGAAAATCACATGTTAATTATTCAATCTATTTTTTTTTATTTATTTATTTATTTATTTATTTATTTTGCTTTTTGGGTCACACCAAGAGATGCATAGGGATTACTCCTGGCTCTGCACTCAGAAATTACCCCTGATGGTGATTAGGGGACTATATGGGATAATGGGAATCAAACTTGGGTTGGCCGCGTGCACGGGAAATGGCCTACCCACTGTGCTATTGCTCCAGCCCCAATTAATTATTCAATCTAAAGGAAAGACAGAATTCTCTTTCTATACCCTCTAATGAAAATATTACAGCATTGCTACTATATGGGGCTGGAGTGATAGAACAGCGGGTAGGGCGGGTTAGCCTTGCACACGGCTAACCTGGGTTCAACTCCTCCGTCCCTCTTGGAGAGCCTGGCAAGCTACTGAGAGTATCCCGCCCACAGGGAAGAGCCTGGCAAGCTCCCCATGGCGTATTTGATATGCCCAAAACAGTAACAAGTCTCACAATGGAGACGTTACTGGTGTCCGCTTGAGCAAATCAATGAACAACGGTAGGACACTGCTACAGTGCTACATGTTCCTAGTATTTATGAGGCCTAACTTTATGATTATATTTCAGTGTTTTATTATTTTAACTAATATTCATTTTACTCTTGATTTTGAATTAATAATTTTGTATCAATTTCCATATAGCACCCAAACAAATTTTCCTCACTGTAGCACTGTTGCACTGTCCTCCCGTTGTTCATCAATTTGTTCGAGCGGGCCCAGTAACATCTCCATTGTGAGACTTGTTGTTACTGTGTTTGGCATATTGAATATGTCACGGGTAGCTTGTCAGGCTTTGCTCTGCTGTCGAGATACTCTCGGTAGCTTGCCAAGGTCTCCGAGAGGGGCAAAGGAATCAAACCTGGGTGGGCCAAGTCAGCAGCGTGCAGGGAAAATGCCCTACCACTGTGCTATTGCTCCAGTCTAATAATAATAATAATAATGATAATAATAATAATAAACAATGCAATTAGCAACTTGGCCACAGGATGCTAACTCTTCTACCAAAAAAAATCATTGAAAAGAAATCAGTTATTTGAAATCAAATTTGATATCTCAAGATTCAAACTATGATATAGTCAGTTTTATGATGTTTTAATTTATACAAGTTCTTGATTATGAAGTTCATAGTGGTAGGACACCAACCAAATATCTCAGAAATTACAGTGTGTGTGATCTTTTTATAGGAATATGTTCATACAAAATGTTTCGAAAAATTAAAAATAATGAATTAAGAATAGAAACATACAGGGAGCTGGAGTGATCGAATAGTGGGTGAGGCACTTGTCTTGCATGTGGCAGACCTGGGTTCGATCCCTGGTGTCCCATTTGGTCCCACAAGAACCGTCAAGAGTTATTCTTTAGTCCAAAGCCAGTAGTTACCCTTGAGCAGTGGAAAAACAAAACAAATAAGAAGAGTAGAAACATATATGTATATATGATTTGCATTGAAATTATGAAGGTAACTATAATTTTAAACTGAAAAATAACTAACATATATCTGAGGATTCTTATGTAGTTGGCATCTTTAGTCCCAGAAAAGTGCTTAATAATTGCAAAAAGATAAGTGACTTATTAAATAAACTGGTATAGATATAAGTAACTAACTATATCTTAATCTACTATCAGTAGATTAAGCATATATAAAGAATACCAACAAATGCTTATTGAATTCTTGTTTATAATTCTGTAGTTCATAACTTCATGCATAAAATTAGCATGGGTTATGGATTTTTTGCATTGATGCTTCATATTTTATCATGATTCTTCTGAATTTGCTTCTGGATAATGGATTGGAGTATTTGAACCTGGTGGTGATTCATGTTTTCTGCAACACACAGGTTCAACAGGGATTTGTGATTTTTCAAAGTTTCACATTTAAAAGTTCTCTAAAACTTCATAATTCCACATTTTACCCTTCCATTCTTTTCCTCTGTTATTTTTTTAAAAAAAACTATTTGTATTTAGACAGTATGATGTACATCGCCACTTACAGCAGCTTCTTTTTAAAAACTGAATCATCGTGAGATACAGTTGCAAAGCTGTTCGTGGTAGGTTTGAGTCATACAGTGCTCCAACACCCATCCCTCCGCCAGCGGACATTTCCCAACATCAGTGTCCCAGTATTCCTCCAGCCACCCTCCCCACAACCTGTTTCTATGGCAGGCATTCTTCTTCTTTCTTCTTCTTCTTCTTCTTCTTCTTCTTCTTCTTCTTCTTCTTCTTCTTCTTCTTCTTCTTCTTCTTCTTCTTCTTCTTTCTTCTCCTTCTCCTTCTTCTCCTTCTCCTTCTCCTCCTTCTCCTTCTCCTTCTCCTCCTCCTCCTCCTCCTCCTCCTCCTCCTCCTCCTCCTCCTCCTCCTCCTCCTCCTCCTCCTCCTCCTTCTTCTTCTTCTTCTTCTTCTTCTTCTTCTTCTTCTTCTTCTTCTTCTTCTTCTTCTTCTTCTTCTTCTTTGTTGTCGTTGTCTTCTTCCTTCTTATTCCTTCTTCCTCCTCCTCCTCCTCCCCTCCTCCCCCTCCTCCTCCCCTCCTCCTCCTCCTCCTCCTCCCCTCCTCCTCCTCCTCCTCCTCCTTCTCCTTCTCCTTCTCCTTCTCCTTCTCCTTCTCCTTCTCCTTCTCCTTCTTCTTCTTCTTCTCCTTCTTCTCCTCCTCCTCCTCCTCCTCCTCCTCCTTCTCCTTCTCCTCCTCCTCCTCCTCCTCCTCCTCCTCCTCCTCCCTCCTCCTCCTCCTTCTCCTTCTCCTTCTCCTCCTCCTCCTCCTCCTATTCTTCTTCTTCTTCTTCCTATCTCTCTCTCCTTCAGGCATTATGATTCACAATACAACTGAGAAGTTATCATGTTTGTTCCTTTATTTATTTTACAATCGCATCTTTGGCTTACAATGTGACCCCCAAGTGGTTTTAATTCTTCACACAAACCCGTCTTTCATTTCCTCCACTACCTGCCATAGTCCACCTCCCATCCTGATTCCATGAAAGAAACATTTTTAAGTTCAACGGTTTTGGTAGTTTGGGCCCCAAGGTTATGGTAATGTTGAGTCTAGTTTTTTATAGATAGATAAGGGCTCAAGGCCCCATCCCTTGCCCTGATACTGCATTTAGACTTCCTCTTCTTGCTTCTCCCTTCCCATTTATCTTCTTTAAAATTTTCCTTTCTGATACAGAGCCAGTGTTTCACCCACCTTTACCATTGCTACTGACCATTCGGAAGATGTTTTTCTACATTCTATGATTAGTAAGGCCATCTGACATTTTTCTTTGCCCTCTGACTTCATTTAACATGATATCTTTCAGTTCCATACAAATTGCAGCCAATTACATGATTTTATCACTCCTTGTGGCTGTATAGCATTTCATTGTGTATTTTGTATGACAGCTTGGTTATCCACTCAGTGTTTGGACACCTGGATTGTGAACATAACCTATTTTGTACTAATCCTATGCTGCAGTGAGCTTAGATGTGCTTATGTCTCTCTTAAGATATTGATTTTCAAGTGTCACTTAATTCTCTTCTTTTCTTTTATAGGTACATTTAGAGAAGAACAGAAATGCACATACCGATATGAGATGCATGGCTACATTTGCAAGCAGACTGACCAAGTGGTCTTAATTCTTGACAATACCAATGTTATTTGGCAAGTGCAAAAGTTTTATCCAGTTGTGTCTGTGACTGATGGTTTTGTTGATACCTTTAGTAGTGCAAATACCAATGCACCCTGCTTTTCTTCAGGGTCTGCATCTACTTTCTATTCTCTTTTGCCAACTGGGAAAATCACCAAGGTCTGTTTTGCAGATCAGACGCCTCAAGTTTTGCGTTTTTTTCTCGTGGGGAACAAAAACAACACAAAACTTCTCTTGGCTATATTCTACCATGAACTTCAGAGTCCCCATGTTTTCCTAGGTGAACACATGATTTCACCTACTCCGGTACAACCAATTTCCTCGTTGCTCAATGGATCAATAGGTGCCAACTATTTTGACATTATAGATAACCTCTTTTATGTTGTCCTACAAGGAGAGGAACCCATCGAAATACATTCTGGTGTTTCCATCCATTTGGCGCTCACTGTGTTATTTTCAGCTCTAGAAAAAGGTTGGGAACTTCTGCTCCTTGAAAGACTAACTGATTTCTTGCAGGTTAGCCAATCCCAAATCAGAATCATTCAAGAACTGCCTGGCAATAAAGCAACCTTAAAGGCCATTGCTGACAGTAAAGCAAAGAGAAAGCGCAATTGCCCAACTGTGACGTGTTCCGGTTATTATGGACTTGGTCAGCGTAGACCTCTGACGATGGATATGAGCTCATATAGGATGTCACCACCAAACACTACGGAAAGTATCTCAACAGTGATCATCGTTGAAATTGGTGACTTACCAGTAAGAAGGATGACTGGGTCGATTTCATCCTTATCAATGGACAAACTCCAGATTTTGGCTCAAAAGATTATCTGTGCTCAACAGACAGGAATGTTGGACAATGTTCTGAATATGAATATTGGGGCCTTACTGGTCACCCATTCAAAGGGAGTCACTGGCAATGGGTAGGTACTAATTATAATTACAATAATGACTCGAAGTTATGGGTACACATTGCAAATGTCAATTCATGTACATTAAATCACATATGCTTTCTTGCTTAAAATAAGAAGAAAACTTATAGGATGGCGAAAAGTAGTTCAGCAGTCAAGAAGAACATGTTTGTCATGCACCGGAAGCTGGGTTTGAACCCAGCACCACATTGTTTTGTGAGCATTGCCCAGGTGTAAACTTGAGGGAAACCCCTGAGTACCTCGGGTGTGGTCCTAGTGAAACCCTACTAGCAGCATCACATTACTGGCCTGACACTGAACTGAAACTTTCAGTAACAGAATACTACGGGGAGTGGCTCTCCACCCACTCTCCAAGAACAATTTGGAAATCTCAGAATAAAATAAAAACTTCAGATCCAAGGAGATGATTACTCAAATGTCTGACATGCCTTGCACGAGGGGGCCCCAAGTTCAATCCTCCCAAGGCTGCAAAAAAAAAAAAGATTATTTAGGCACCAGAGATATAATAAAGCAAATAAGGTGCTGGCCTTGAATGTGGCAGACCTAAACTCTAGACGAACTAACCCATATGATCCCACAATTACTTCCAGGAGTGATGTTTGAGTGCAGAGTCAGAAATAATCCTTAAACACCATTCTGTATGTTCCTTCCACCAAAAAATAATTTTATTTATCTTGAATGTCTTATTAGTCTTTACAATAGGGTCAACTGGTCCTTTTCTTTTTTTTTTCCTTTTAAATTTTTATTTGTGAGACACCATGAGGTACAGTTTTAGACTTACAAATTTTTGTGCTTGGGTTTCAATTATACAATGATCAAATACCCATCCCTCCACCAGTGCCCATTTCCCACCACCACAGATCCCAGTATCCCTCCCTCCCCCATCCTACCCATCCCACCCTGCCTCTGTGGCACGGCATTCCCTTTTGTTATCTCTCTCCTTTTGGGGCCGAGATTAGTACCAGGAATTTTGTTCCTTTTCTTTATAGACAATAAATATGTATAAAAAACTCAAGCAAAAACTTTTGTGCATTCTGGTTGAATTAAAGCACTTTGGATATTTTTAGCCTATAACTTAAAATATTCCTAGTTACATTATCTATTAGGTAAAGGTAAGGTAAAGGCCCTCCCGTTGATCGTCGATTTGCTCGAGCGGGCCCAGTAACGTCTCCATTGGAGACTTTGTTGTTACTGTGTTTGGCATATCGAATACTCTCGGTAGCTTGCCGGGCTCTCCGAGAGGGGCGGAGGAATCGAACTCAGGTCGGCCACGTTGGCCGCTTGTAAGGCGAACGCCCTACCACTGTGCTATCGCTCCAGCCCTTTATCTGTCTTTATCCATTATCTATTAAATCTTGGATATTTGAACACACAAATCTTAAGCATGTTAAGATTATTATTACATTGTAGCTGGTAGTATGAAAATTAGAAATGTGTAAAAATGGGTCCTTTTTAAACATTTTTATTCAAGTACCAGAATTTATAGAGTTTATGATGCCATTCGTCATATCATTCATGCATATATCATATCAGTTCGACACCAAACTCCAGAATTCCTGCTTTATTCTACAGTGTTGCCAAAACACCTCCCACGTCCCCTGCATGTAATCTGTTTTACAGAGAAAATCATCGGTTTTCATGACTTTGACCATTTATTTTTTTTAACTTTCCTATGCTTGTTTTATGCCTCACCCAGAAGAGATTCCTTTTAGTTTACTTTTTTTTTTAAATTGTGGAAGTAGTGACACCTATTAATAGTGTGAATTTTGTGAAATACCACAATATTGTAAATCAAAAAGAAGTAAATCAAGTATTTTTTTTCAAAAATCACATCCTTTTTTAGAGGTTCATAAACATTAAAAACGAATATTGCAAATATTTCTATGTGAATAGCACTGCACTGTAACACTGTCGTCCTGTTGTTCATCTATTTGCTCGAGCAGGCACCAGTAACGTCTCCATTGTGAGACTTGTTGTTACTGTTTTTGGAATATCGGATATGACATGGGGAGTTTGCCAGGCTCTACTGTGTGAATAGGATACTCTTGGTAGCTTGCCGCGCTCTCCAAGAGTGACAAAAGAATTGAGCCCGTGTCGGCCATGAGCAAGGCAAACACCCTTCCTGCTGTGCTATCACTCTAGCCCCGTCTATGTGAACACATGTTAAAATTTACCTGAAGCAGATAATCCTACAAATATAAAATTTAGTAAGAATGAAAAGAATTAAGAAAATTTTAGGAGTCAGGGTGATAGTACAGTGTATAAGATGCTTGCCTTGCATATGTCTAAGCCAAATTTGATCCCTGGTACCCCATATTGTCCCCTGAGCCCTGCCAGGAGTGATCCCCAACCACAGAGCCAAGAGTGAGCTCTGAACATCACTGAGTATGCCCTTAAAAGCCTGCAAATATTTGAAAGAATAAAATTAGAATAGGCCTACAGAAATATAATAGCATGTTTTATCCAAGGAAAGGAATATATTTTTATACTAGGAAATACTATAGATTCTGTTTAAGTGTATTCACTAAACAATAAAAGAATGTATTCAAAATCTATGGATGAAATTTTTAAAAACCCTGATCAAACACATAAGTGAGGAGATAATTTGCTATTGAAAATTTATAACATCAAGTTAGGAATAAATATACCTTCCTTAACCTAGTAAAAGGCCATCATTAGCTCCATGAGTGAGCACCATTCTCAATACCACTTGCTGGGGAGTTTGTCTTGTCCTTAATGAAGCTCCTTTAATGCTTCTCGCAAAACTGGTTTTAAAGCCATGAATTTCCCCAACTGTTGCCTGTTCTTGGAATTCTCTGTCTTTCCTTCATATTCGGAGAGCCTGGCAAGCTACCGAGAGTATTCAATATGCCAAACACAGTAACAAGAAATCTCACAATGGAGACGTTACTGGGCCCGCTCGAGAAAATAGATGAATAACGAGAGGACAGTGTTTTTGTTTTTGTTTCCTTCATATATGAATGATAATCTAGCTAGATAGAGTATTCCTGGCGAGGTGTTCATTTCATTGAGTTTTTGCACTGTATCTCTCCATTCTCATTCAGCTTATAGCATCTCGTTTGCGAGATCTGCTCTGAACTTTTCTGTTTGTTTGCTTGTTTGTATAAAAGTTCCTGTTTTTTGATATTCCATCGCTGTCTTTGGTTTATAACATTTTGAGCACCATGTGTCTTGAAGTTTTTCTATTTATGTCTGCCTTTGCTGGGACCCTTTGTGTCCTGTATTGAGTTACCTGTATTCCCTCAATTCTGGGAAATTCTTATCTGTGTTTTTTAAAACTATAGATTCTTCATCAAATTCAGCTATTGTTCCTCAAGTGCTCAAATGATTCATTCATTAGTTGTTCCTTTTGAATTTATCCCATGGTGTGATGTTCATTTTTTTTAGACTGTTTTTCATCAGTTTTTTTTTTTTTTGTAGAGATTTCCTCTATCTCATCTTGGAGCTCCTTTATCCTAATGAATTTTCTGGCTCCTACTAAACATGTAAATATAAATAAAGCTATAATAACTTTTGCTATATTTACAGTTTCACTTAAGTCACACTGTGTTATAATAAGTAGATTATATGTATGAGTGTCTAGATAGAAAACATCAAATCATTGCTAAATTTCATGATATTTTTTCAGTACTGAGCTTAACATGGCTTCATTCTAAGACAATTGACGTATATAATATATTAAGAAGTATCTCCATGAAAATGCAGATTTTAAGCCAGGATGGTAAAGTAAAGTAGTAGAAAAAGTATCTTTATAACAGAGGAAAGTCAGCAAAGAGAGTAGATCTGGCACAAGTCAGATATACTTGTCATATATGTGTGGGGATATCATTCGGTGATGAGGTGGAAAGACAACTTCCAGAGAAGATCACTTTTATGCTTGGGTGATATCACCCACCATCCACCAGTGTCATCATGATTTCACATTTGACTCAGCTCTTTCTGATATAATAGGTAACTTCTCCAAGTATATATTACATCAATTTTATGTCAGAATTTGTTATATCCCCTATATTATCTCCATTCCTCTAATGTTTGAAAAGAGATTTTCTAATTGTAGAAAAGCAATCACATACCACCCTGAACGCGCCCGATCTCGTCTGATTAGAAAAGGCTTTTTTCACACATACATGTATAAATCTCTGCCAAATTAGAAACACCGTTCTCTGAGGGATTAAAGGGGAGTTACCAAGGTTTCCATGGTTCTAAGAATTGCACAGATTGGGAAACAACCTCCAGCCCTGTGCATATACCAAGGCCAGCCCTGTTCCTTTCAACTTTCATCAGTGTCAGTTGGGACTTCCAATGACTCACTGGAGAGCCATTGACAAGCTAATTATTTGATCTTGAGGAAAGAGAATAGCCCGGCAAGCTACCGAGAGTATCTCGCCCGCACGGCAGAGCCTGGCAAGCTACCCGTGATGTATTCAATATGCCAAACACAGTAACAAGAAGTCTCATGATGGAGACGTTACTGGGCCTGCTCGAGCAAATTGATGAACAACAGGAGGATCGTGACCGTGACCGAGGAAACAGAAATGAGTCTAGATACACAGACTATTCTGGAAAGAGCACCAAGGATGTTTATGAGAGGTTCACTCATATTAATACAATGGGCTGTATACATTAAGAGTATTGAGATGACATCAGACACTTACTTTTTCAAGGGCAATGCTACCTGCTTTCACAAAGCTACCAGTTTCTGCATGGAAGAAAGAAGCAGAGTGCCACTCACATTTTTTAGTAAATTGTGCACAGTGACAATTTTTAGTAACTTGTCCTCCTCTCTTCTCATCTCATCCTTCTCTAGCATCATCTGCCTTTAAGTTTTCTCTATTTGCACTATGCCAATTCCAGAAATTGAGTTTTCATCCTCCAAAGCATTGTTGACCTCTTTTGTCAGTTTTTTTCTTTCACTTGTGTTCCTATCTTAATTGACTTACAGCATTTTTATTCTTTCAAATTATTTTAAT